ATGGCCCCGCCAGAGTTGAAAGAGTTAAAGGATCAGTTGCAGGACTTGTTGGAGAAGGGTTTCATTAGACCCAGTGTTTCTCCTTGGGGTGCGCCGGTGTTATTTGTGAAGAAAAAGGATGGTTCGATGAGGATGTGCATTGATTACCGGCAATTGAACAAAGTGACGATTAAGAACAAGTATCCACTGCCGAGGATTGACGATTTGTTCGACCAGCTTCAGGGTGCAAGGGTATTTTCAAAGATAGACTTGAGATCTGGCTACCACCAGCTAAGGATTAGGGCATCCGATGTCCCTAAGACAGCATTCCGCACTCGTTATGGGCATTATGGGTTTTTGGTCATGTTATTTGGGTTGACCAATGCCCCAGCAGCATTTATGGAGTTGATGAACCGAGTGTTCAGGCCATATTTGGACATGTTCGTGATAGTCTTTATTGACGATATTTTGGTGTGCTCCCGCAGCCAGGAGGAGCACGAGCCGCACCTTAGGGTGGTTCTTCAGACTCTGAGGGATAGTCAGTTATATGCCAAGTTCTCCAAGTGTGAGTTCTGGTTGAGTTCGGTTGCATTTCTGGGTCACGTTGTATCAGCAGAGGGTATTCAGGTGGACCCGAAGAAGATAGAGGTGGTCAAGAACTGGCCTCGACCAGCATCAGCTACAGAGATTCGGAGTTTCTTGGGGTTAGCAGGCTACTATCGTCGGTTCGTAGAGGGGTTTTCATCTATTGCAGCCCCGATGACCAGATTGACCCAGAAGGGTGCCCAGTTCAGATGGTCAGATGAGTGTGAGGCGAGCTTTCAGAAGCTCAAGGCAGCTCTGACTACGGCACCGGTATTGGTATTGCCCACAGGTTCAGGGCCTTATACAGTTTATTGTGATGCTTCTCGCATTGGGCTTGGTGCAGTATTGATGCAGGATGGTAGAGTCATAGCCTATGCTTCCCGTATTATGAAATGGGATCGTGTGGCACGCCGACCACTTATATATTATGAAATGGGATCGTGTGACACGCCGACCAATTATATATTATGAAATGGGATCGTGTGGCACGCCGACCACTTATATAGATTATGAGATCTGATGTAGTTTCGTGTTTACTTTTGATAAGTTGTTTTCATATGTATTTCCCCTAAGCATGTCCCCTCCCCGCCTTAATTGGTATTTTCTGCTGTTATTTCGTTGCACTTGTATATACATATATATCTGTACAGGTTGTTTTTGGTAGGTCCTGTCTAGCCTCGTCACTACTTCGCCGGGGTTAGGCTAGGCACTTACCAGCACATGGGGTCGGTTGTGCTGATGCTACACTCTGTGCATCTTTTTGCACAGATCCAGGAGCAGCTTTTGGGCCTCAGCAGTAGGATTTGATCGGGAGCTGACTTCAGTCCAAGGACTTTCGAGGTAGCCTAGCTGACGTTCGCAGGCCGGAGTCCCTTCTATGTTATTAGTTTGTTTTCCTTGTACCGAGACAAACATTGATGTACTTCTATTCAGACTTGTTTTTAACACTCTTTAGTAGTTCGTGAGTTAGTGACACTGGATCTGGGTAGAGTTGTATTTAAACTTCCGCATTTGGTTTTCAGTTATCTGTGTTTTTAAGACTTCCGCTTTATGTCATTATGTTTGATTTTATTAAATGGTTGGTAATTGTTGCGAAAAGGTAGATTAAATTGGTTTGCCTAGCTCCCATTAGTAGGCGCCATCACGACTCCCGAGGGTGGAAAATTCGGGTCATGACATTTTTAAATCTATTAGCCAAACCAAACCAACAAAGTCGGTGTTTTCAATCTCAGTTTGTCTCGAGTTCTTCGATTTTTTTAGGTTTTCGAGTTTTCTCCGGTAAAGTATGGGGAGCCTTATATTTCAGACCATAGTCCCATGTCCATCAACATAAGGCAACCTAAGAAACTTACCAAGAGCCCATTCAGATTTTTTAATGTATGGGCAAGCCATCCTGATTTTAACATGATAGTAAGGGAAGAATGGAGCAATAACAAAGTAACAGGGAAGATGGTGAGTATTTGGGACAAGCTTAAAAGGATGAAAAGCCAATTTAGACAACTGAATGAAGCAGAGTTCAAAGGAGTAGCTGAGAAGATAGATCAAGCAAGACAAACCATTCATCACATACAAAGCCAGATGCAAATTAGCTATAGTGACCTGCTGCAGGGCCAAGAGAAAGAATGGTTGCAAAAGCTGGAAACATGGTCAATGGTGGAAGAGAAGATACTACAACAAAAGGCAAGAGCAAACTGGATCAAGTTGGGTGATGCCAATAATAAGTTCTTTTCTGCAGTAATAAAGGAGAGGCAACAGAGAAAACAAATTATTGAACTACAAACACTATCAGGAAATACCATAACAGATCATGCAGCTATAAAGGAGGAGATTGTATCCTTCTACAAAAGCTTTATGGGAACTAGTGCACATGTACTTCCTGTTGTGGACAAGATGGTAATGAGGGAAGGACCAACCTTAACACAGCAACAACTACAAGACCTGATTGCTGAAGTTACTAGTCAAGAGATAGATGAAGCTCTGAAGGGAATAGGAAGTGATAAAGCACCAGGCATAGATGGGTACAATGCAAAATTCTTCAAGAAAGCATGGCCATTGATCAAAGAAGAAGTGTATGCTGCAGTGAAAGAATTTTTCCACACAGGGGTGATGTTTCCAGCAATCAACTGCACTACTATCACTTTGCTGCCAAAAATTCCTAATCCAATGACAATTAAGGATTTCAGACCTATTGCTTGCTGCATTGTGTTATACAAGCTTATCTCTAAAGTCATAGCTGGTAGATTACAGAAGATCATGCCTTACATCATATCTGAAGCTCAAGCAGGGTTCATCCCAGGGAGGAAAATAGCAGATAACATCATTCTTGCTCATGAGCTAGTTAAGGCCTATAGCAGGAAACATATATCTCCTAGATGTATGATGAAGGTTGACATGATGAAAGCATATGAATCAGTTGAATAGGTGTATTTGGAACAACTGTTAGAATATCTATGCTTTCCCACAAAATTCAATAACTGGGTGAGAGCTTGTGTATCATCAGTGAGTTATTCAATCATGATAAATGGGGAACTGACAAAGCTTTTTGAAGCTGCTAAAGGACTCAGACAGGGTGATCCCGTATCACCATTTCTGTTTGCAATTGCAATGGAATACCTAAGTAGGCTGCTCAAAGGATTGAAACATGTTAAGGAATACAGGTATCACCCTAGATGTGGTAAGCTGGATATAACTCACCTCAGCATTGCAGATGACCTACTGATGTTTGCTAGGGGTGATAGCAAGTCTGTCTCCACTTTACATGCTTGCTTTATGCAGTTTTCTGCTGCATCTAGACTGCTAGCTAATCCCAATAACAGTGCAGTTTATTTTGGAGGAGTTGCTCAGGATACTAGATAGGAAATTCTACAGAAGACTGGATACTCACTTGGGGAGCTACCTTTCAAATATCTGGGCATCCCACTGGATACAAAGAAGCTATCAGGTATGCAATGGCAACCACTGATTGACAGAATAGTTGCAAGAATTTCCTCTTGGACAGCTCAAAAATTATCTTATGCCGGAAAGGTGCAGTTAGTCCAAACAGTGATATTTGGTATCCAATCTTACTGGTCCCAAATATTTATTCTACCAGCTAAAGTGATGAATCTAATAGAGTCATATTGCAGAAGCTATATATGGTTTGGATCTAATACAATTACAAAGAGAACTTTGATAGCATGGGATAGAATGTGCTTACCTAAATCTGCTGGAGGGTATAATGTGCTGAATATCAGAGTTTGGAATAGAGCTGCTATCACTAAAGTATATTGGGATCTGGCACAGAAGAAAGACAAAATATGGATAAAATGGATCTACACATACTACATAAAAGGGCAAAGCATAGTGGAGATGAATATACCCCAACAGGCAAGTTGGATGGTGAGAAAGATCATGGAGGCAAGAGAGGTGATGCAACAAATGCCTACAGTACAATACGGGCAGAGTAGTATCAAGCAAATATACTTAGGCATTTTGGGAAATTACAGCAAGGTGACATGGAGAACCTTAATGTTCCACAATAAAGCTAGGCCCAAAGCAAGATTCATTATGTGGATGCAATGTCATGGGAGATTGCTGACAACAGATCGGCTTGCAAACTGGGGAATTCAAGTAAGTTCAAGATGTTGCTTATGCAATGGAGCAGATGAATCATATGCACATCTGTTTGGTGAATACAGGTTTGCCAAAACAGTATGGGAAAGGCTTATGCAATGGATATGAATTCATGTGAATTCAATGCAATCTTATACTCAGATGATGGCATGGGTAGTAACACAAGCTAAGGGGAAATCATGTAAAGCCAGAATAATGAAAATGGTATATGCAGAATACATCTATGGGATATGGAGGGAGAGAAACAGTAGAATATTTGAAGNCTTAAAACACTGAAGAACCAGCCAGATTTTAACTACCATCCAAGATGTGAAAAACTACAGATTATACAGCTGGGATTTGCGGATGATCTATTGTTATTCTGCAGGGGTGATGAAGTATCTATACACATGTTATATAGCTGCTTTATGGAATTCTCAAAGGTGTCAGGGCTAACTGCAAACAAGAACAAGAGTTCCATATATTTTGGTGGTGTGAATTCAACAGTGCAACAAAAGGTTATAGAGGAACTGGAGTTTTCAAAAGGAGAGTTGCCTATAAGGTACCTAGGAGTCCCATTGAGCACAAAAAGGATGTCAATTATTCAGTTTCAGCCATTGCTAGACAGGATGCTAGATAGAATAACATCTTGGACTGCCAAATTTCTCTCATATGCTGGCAGAATGCAATTGATAAAAAGTGTGTTGCTATCCATTCAAATATACTGGTCTCAAATATTTGTGTTCCCTCAGAAGATAATTCATCTCATTGAGTCCATATGCAGGAAGTTCTTATGGTCTGGGGGTGTTGAGGTGACAAAAAAAGCTCTAGTGGCTTGGGATAAGCTATGTCAACCAAAGGTAAGTGGGGGCTGGAACCTACTAGATGTTAAATTGTGGAATAAGGCTACAATATGTAAGCTCCTATGGAATTTAGCCCAGAAGAAGGAAAAGCTTTGGGTAATATGGATTCATACTTATTATGGGAAAGGAAAGAATGTAAAGCACATAGAAGCTAAGCAAGCTTCATGGGTGATATTGAAGATCTTGAAGGCCAAACAATACATGCTTGATGCTGGGCAAACTTGGATGAGATGCTTGACAAGAAGAACATAACTGTCAGGTACATATACAGGATATTGAAGCAGGATCAACAAAAAGTGCCTTGGAGGAAGTTGATATGCAATAATGGAGGTATGCCAAAGTGGATCAATACTGGGAAAATTGGCGACAAGAGATAGGTTAGGAAGATGGGGAATAACAAATGATCTACTATGTCCTATGTGTAATATAGAAGAGGAAAGCATAGAACATTTATTTTTCAAGTGTACATACACAACAGCAATATGGGAGAAATTACTGCAGTAGATGAATATTAAAAGACAACCGATGGAATGGAGTCAAGAAATACAATGGGCATGCATCAACACTCGAGGAAAATAAACAAATGCAGAGATCTACAGAATGACATTAGCAAGTTGTGTCTACTATATATGGCAGGAGAGGAATTACAGAATATTCAGATCGCAAATGAGACCAACAGGAGTACTGATGAAGCAGATTATACAAATGGTGTGTGGAAGGGGATATACAATGTCAAGATTGAGAAGAAGATTAGAAGAGTTAAATTTCTACCCTTAAATGTAATTGTGAATTCTGAACTAGTAGGTAGAAAGCAGTAGAATAGGAGTAACTAACTCTAGGAAGATGTCCAGAATTAGTGGTTGTTATGTGCTGTAATTTCGTTTCTTGGTAATAAAATATGATAATTACCAAAAAAAAAAAAATATGATGTGTAAACTCTTTGGAGCGTTGGCTCGATTTTCAAAAGTAAGAAATGAACGTAAAAGAAAGAGATGTGATTATTTCCTTGCCGGGACGTGTAAGTTATTGTTGTTGCTCCCTTGCCGGGATTTAACTGCTTAGTCGTATTCTCCCTTGCTGGGAAACCACTTATATATTATGAAATGGGATCGTGTGGCACGCCGACCACTTATATATTATGAAATGGGATCGTGTGGCACGCCGACCACTTATATATTATGAAATGGGATCGTGTGGCACGCCGACCACTTATATATTATGAAATGGGATCGTGTGGCACGCCGACCACTTATATAGATTACGAGATCTGATGTAGTTTCGTGTTTACTTCTGATAAGNTCAGTAGGTTACTTAAAACACTGAAGAACCAGCCAGATTTTAACTACCATCCAAGATGTGAAAACTACAGATTATACAGCTGGGATTTGCGGATGATCTATTGTTATTCTGTAGGGGTGATGAAGTATCTATACGCATGTTATATAGCTGCTTTATGGAATTCTCAAAGGTGTCAGGGCTAACTGCAAACAAGAACAAGAGTTCCATATATTTTGGTGGTGTGAATTCAACAGTGCAGCAAAAGGTTATAGAGGAACTGGAGTTTTCAAAAGGAGAGTTGCCTATAAGGTACCTAGGAGTCCCATTGAGCACAAAAAGGATGTCAATTATTCAATTTTAGCCATTGCTAGACAGGATGCTAGATAGAATAACATCTTGGACTGCCAAAATTTCTCTCATATGCTGGCAGAATGCAGTTGATAAAAAGTGTGTTGCTATCCATTCAAATATACTGGTCTCAAATATTTGTGTTCCCTAAGAAGGTAATTCATCTCATTGAGTCCATATGCAGAAAGTTCTTACGGTCTGGGGGTGTTGAGAAGACAAAAAAAGCTCTAGTGGCTTGGGATAAGCTATGTCAACCAAAGGCAAGTGGGGGATGGAAGCTACTAGATGTTGAATTGTGGAATAAGGCTGCAATATGTAAGCTCCTATGGAATTTAGCCCAGAAGAAGGAAAAGCTTTGGGTAATATGGATTCATACTTATTATGGGAAAGGAAAGAATGTAAAGCACATAGAAGCTAAGCAAGCTTCATGGGTGATATTGAAGATCTTGAAGGCCAAACAATACATGCTTGATGCTGGGGCAAACTTGGATAAGCTGCTTGACAAGAAGAACATAACTGTCAGGTACATATACAGGATATTGAAGCAGGATCAACAAAAAGTGCCTTGGAGGAAGTTGATATGCAATAATGGAGGTATGCAAAAGTGGATCTTTATTCTGTATATGGAAATACTGGGAAAATTAGCGACAAGAGAGAGGTTAGGAAGATGGGGAATAACAAATGATCTACTATGTCCTATGTGTAATATAGAAGAGGAAAGCATAGAACATTTATTTTTCAAGTGTACATACACAACAGCAATATGGGAGAAATTACTGCAGTAGATGAATATTAAAAGACAACCGATGGAATGGAGTCAAGAAATACAATGGGCATGCATCAACACTCGAGGAAAATAAACAAATGCAGAGATCTACAGAATGACATTAGCAAGTTGTGTCTACTATATATGGCAGGAGAGGAATTACAGAATATTCAGATCGCAAATGAGACCAACAGGAGTACTGATGAAGCAGATTATACAAATGGTGTGTGGAAGGGGATATACAATGTCAAGATTGAGAAGAAGATTAGAAGAGTTAAATTTCTACCCTTAAATAGCCCCATCTCGGGGGTCCCGGCCTCTGAGTCTCCTACAGCTGAAGAAAATCAGATATTGCGCCTGCGATTGATGGAAATGTGGGATTCTTGGAACAACGGAAAGGAACCTCAAAGCAATATCCCCGGATTCCGGAGTTATTCCCTAGTCTGGAGGTGCTACTACTGTCCCCATCAGCCACCCCAACATTACTCTAGGGCAACCCACTATAACTGCTCATTTCTTCGGAACNTTAGTGTTGTTTGAGGTGTTTTAATGATTGGAGCAAGTTTGAATAAGGTATTGGATCATGTTTGTATTTTTGGTTGAGGTCCCGAGGGCCTCGGGGTGATTTCGGATGGCTAACGGGAAGTTTTGAACTTAGGAGATTGCAGAACCTGTGCTGCTTCTGGTATTTTCGCTCCTGCGGAAATGGGACCGCAAAAGCGAGTCAAGAACCGCAGAAGCGACAGGCATCGCAGGTGCGGAGATGCTGACCGCATCTGCGGAGTCGCGGATGCGACAGTAGGACCGCAGATGCGGAATTTCGGAAGGCTAAAGGAAACCGCACCTGCGTAAAAGGAATCGCAGATGCGAGACCGCAGAAGCGGTCTTGTCCGCAGAAGCGGCTCCCCATCGCAAAAGCGGAAGTCGCAGATGCGGCTATGTAGGCGCAAATGCGGAAATAACTGGTAAGAAAGGGTTTTAATTCCCTTCGCGAAATATTTACAGAACAC